CTTAATATCCTAATGATTTTTGGCATAAAAGAGAAATGTATAATTGTGACCCATACAATGTATTGTTGGCTATTGCTACAAATATCCCCCAGCGACTTAACACTGCTTCTGTGCTGCAGGGACACATATTTTCTTCCAGTAATGCAAATTAAAATGTTTAATAATGCTCTTTAAAAATGTTAAATGGGTTTTTAATTTTCAGTGTTCTCCAAACGTTAGCGAAAAATGTTATCCGACTTGTTTCAGAACGTTCAGAGAACATTCGAAAGTAAAATAACATACAACGCAAGTAACGATGTTTGCAAAATGATAAAATGGAATGTTCGCTTAACGTTCGTATAACCAACCGTTTTTAAAACGTTAAAAAAAACTGGACATTTTCAACATTCCGAAATAGTTTTTTCTTACTGGAAAAGTTAGCAAAACATTCTTAAAACATTTATGTTAGCTAACATGTTCTTTAGATGTCACTTTATTTAAATACTCGAGACTAATAGCGTTTTAACGGAAGAATGTGTTTTAGAACAGCCTTTTGAATGCTACATTTTCAGTAATTATAAAGTTGTTCAATTTATGAAGCTTGTTTAAAAATAAAGGTAATTGCTACTTTTTTAAAATCTTCTCTCGCAATTCTGACTTTTTTTTGGTAATTCTTAAAATTTTCGAGATATCAAGTCAGAATTGCTAGATACTGTATATATTCGCAATTGTGAGATTAAAAATCGTAATTACCTTTTTCATTTATTTATTCAGCTGTGGAAACAAAACAAAAAAACGTCAGAATTGCATTATATTTTGCAATCTTAGGACAAAAATGCCATTTTTCGTTTTCTTTTTACTATCCAGCTTATATATTTTTTTGCAACGCATTTTTATGTGTTAAAAATAGTGCCGTCAAAAGTTTTTGTTTACATAATATACATATTATGCATTTATAAATACAAACACATGCATGTATATATTTAAGAAAGATGTTGTTTATATATTAAATATATTTATGTGTGTAAAATATAAGAATATAAATGTATATACATACAAAATATATACATGCATGTGAGTGTATTTATATATACATAATAAATATACACAGTACACACACATATATTATGTAAACAAACACTTATTTTGGACACGATTAATCGTTTGACAGCACTAGTTAAAAATCTAGACTTAATATTGGTTATGTTAGCAGTCCGTAAAACAAAAGTTTTCAATAAATGATATACAGAAAGTTAGCAAAGAATGTTCCCCATGAAACACTTTCATTATCATCACTGTAGCTGTTTATACATGTATCTGTTGTTCAAGTGCATGCTCTGAAACCCCCTTCTGTATTAGATTAATAAACGCAATAGTTAGAGCATAATTTCAGACGGTTGTGTGAATGTTGTACAAACGTTGTCTAAATGTTAGTATGAAGTTTCCAGAGCTTGGCGTGTTTCTGTTGGAGCCTGGCAGTCTCTGCGCCTCGTCTGGAGCGTCTTCTCTTCGTCAGATGCTGCCGGCGAGCAGCGGAGACGTCTCCGAGGGCCGGGAGTGGTGCGAATCGTACAGGTGTTCGCTCTGGAGCTGCACCTCCGCTCGCAGGTTGATCTTCTGCAGACAGAAACACACACGAGTGTGAGACGCGCAGAGCTGGGTCACTGACTGCATGTGATCTGGATTACGCGATCGGATTCCAAAAATTAAGTACTTGTAATTAGATTAAATTACATTTTAACTCTCTCCCCGCCAGCATTTTTGAAAAAAGTTGCCAGCCACCGCTTTTGCTGATTTTTACTAATATTTCATGGCCCCCAGAATATTTTGTTGCATGAATATCTGAACATGCAATACATCAAAGTAATGATCAGACCCTCTACTTTCAAACAAAAAGAATCAGTTTTATTATTGCCTTTTTATCAACGCTTGAGTGTAGGTAGGTTTCATAAAAAAGCAACATTTTGAGCAAAATCGCATTTTTATCAAATACTACACCTGGATCTTATTCAGTAATATTATCAAAACAAAGATGCAGTAGATGGCTTCCACCAGCACTCCCAAAGCTTTACCACTTTCTGGATCCACATTTCACTCTGTAAATCAGGCAGTTTTCATTTATATGCTGTTAGTGTTGATGACTGCACTATTTTTAATATGCACATGCATACATAAGAGATCGCTCGTTTCTGAGACTTTCTGGGGCCTGTTCCATAAAACAAGTTTACCAAACAAGCCTGGCTTATTTGTGTAAACTTGTTTTATGGAACAGGCCCCAGGTTTATTTCAGTTAGTCTGACTTATTGTCAGCTGATTTGGTTCTAAATAAGTCGGGCTAACTGAAATAAGCCTGGCTTATTTGTGTAAACTTGTTTTATGGAACAGGCCCCAGGTTTATTTCAGTTAGTCTGACTTATTGTCAGCTGATTTGGTTCTAAATAAGTCGGGCTAACTGAAATAAGCCTGGCTTATTTGTGTAAACTTGTTTTATGGAACAGGCCCCAGGTTTGTTTCAGTTAGTCTGACTTATTGTCAGCTGATTTGGTTCTAAATAAGTCGGGCTAACTGAAATAAGCCTGGCTTATTTGTGTAAACTTGTTTTATGGAACAGGCCCCAGGTCTGTGTTTTTTATCGGCACTTTCTAGACTCATTCAGGAGATGTGTAATAGCGCCCCCTAGCGTATAACAGAGGAAACACGGAAACTTTCGTGTTTGGCGGGGAGAGAGTTAAAATACTCGTAATCAGACTACAGTTACTTTTTTATGGATTACACCATTACATATAATTGCACACAAATGCAATGAATCATCCATAATTTATAGATTCTCCCTAATTCGTCTTTTTCATCTTTTAAATGTTCCTTTCTAAAATAGCCTACAGTTTATATACACTCAGAAAGTCTCCAGTTTTGTGGACATTCACTCAGAGATCAGACATTAAGTCAGGTTTACACAGCATTTGAGCACTGGATTTACAAAAATCATTTCAGGTTTACGAAGTGTTTCAACATCGCATCAACTACTGATGAGCACATTCATTTTTATTTGCATTATCACTCTGTAGCTTATTTAACTATGTGTTTCTATGTCTTTGGAAGGCTTTTGTCTTTCAGACACATTAAAATGCACAAACTCACAAACTTTTTTTCTCATCTGATCCTCTTTCACCTAATATATTTACTTGAAATACTCGTGAGATTTTAAAATTAATATTTTAATTATTAAGCATCACATTTACATGTTCACTGGTTCTCCGACGTTGGTTATGGTCACATGACATGCAGGTAAACAAATAAAATATTTCATTTTCTTTACGGTTTTTAATTTTTTTTTATTGATTTTAATGTCACATTTTTATGATTTATGTAATTATTCGCTTTTCATTAAACTCGCAAACCCCCTGCAGTTCCTTCACAAACATTCACGCAATGTAATGTTTAATAACAGTAAATGGAATATATTTTTTCACTCTTTGTATTTTTATATCAATTATGGTACAAGATCATCCTATTTAAGTCAGTGTGAAAACGAGACAGCTCAAAAGTAATCCAAAAGTAGTGTGTAATGTAATGGATTACGTTACTGACTACAATTTTTATCATGTAATCGGTAACGGATTACAATTTGTAAGTAATCTACCCAGACACGCTCGACAGGTTTCTACCATTCGATGTGAGACGCTTTACCTTGAAGTCTCGTATGTAGGTGAGGAAGAAGCTGATGAAGGACAAAGCGAGAGACCATTCGGAGATGGTGCTGACGATGTGCGGCGTGAAACCCTGAAGAAGAAAAAACAGCGCAATCAGAGACTCACTCGACACGCAATCCTTGCAGTGAAATAACACACTCACCGGTTCTCCAGGCGTCCAGTGCAGCTTCTGGTTGACCTCGGTTCCTGACAGAGTGCTGTACATGATGACCGACGACACGAACACTGAGCGAATCAAGGAAGCAACCAACAACGCTCAACGCTAAAGCCTGTTTACAGGGATAGTTCACCTAAAAATGAAAATTCTGTCATTAATTACTCACCCTCGTGTCGTTCCAAACCCGTAAGACCGTTTTTGGGTGAACTATCATTTTAAAGGATACTGCTGATGATGCTGCCGAAGGTCCAGACGCAGACGCTCAGCCGCGTCCAGAACATGGTTTTGCTGTGGATGTGTGGCTGCATGCGGTGCGACAGCAGCGTCTGGACCAGGATGTACAGAGCGCCCACGCCGAACGTCAGCATGGCGCCCACCAGATGCATCGCGAACAGAGTGGTTTTCTGGGAAAGACACGGCACACACTTAATGTTCGGAGTGAAGATTCGGTGCAATAAACTTTTAAATTGGAATGAATGGCTGTAAATCGGTCTGTTTAGACCGACCGACAAAAATATTCGCATGCGACAATGCAACTTTTTTGCACACTGGTGAAGCGAAAAATCAAATGCAAATGACTTTTTATGCAAATCCAGTGCAAAAAACATTTTATTCACATGCCAACAATGCAAATATTGTTTGTGCCTTGGTCTGAACAGACAAATCGAATGAAAAAATTAGACTAAACTTTCATTTTACTGTCTTTACATTTATTTTGAAAGATGAAGCTGGTGATTTTGGTAAGAGGCGTTACATTTCCGACGAGTGCTTGTGGTGTTCAGCCAATCACAGTGCACTGGGTCAGCTGGCCAATCAGAGCAGACTGCGCTTGTCGGAAGGCGGGACTTTGTAGAAAACGAAGCGTTTGAGAGAGGTGGGGCATAGAGGACCTACAATAATGTACAGTATTTGAAAAATAATGTGTTTTTTGATCATTAAAGCATGTCAACATATTCTGTTACACCAAATAATGATCTTTAAAATAGCATCATATGACCCCTTTAATAATGTTCTCAACACATTAGCACAAAAACACCATTTATACACTTTCTTCATACGTTACTTTCCAACGTTCATCAACAGCGTTTCCGGAACGTTGTGGGAACGTTAGCCAAACGTTCTGATATGTTTGCTAGCCTGAAAATCGCGTTACCACGGTATTTGCATAGTAAGGATATTTTATCTTATAATTTTATAAAGTATTTGGAGAGATTTTAAGAATAAAAGCGGCATTCAGTCAAATAAAGCAGCAACAGATTTCTTTAGTTTCACTTTCTGTTCCAAACAAAGAAAATGTGATTTTAAAGCGCAGGTTATGAGGTAATATTGCTCTCGTCTTTGCTCCTGTCAAATCTGCATGCGATGATAAAGTCAGATTTAAAAATAACATGTTTTTAAGTCAGTGAGGAAAAGCTTAACGCTACCTGTCAATCAAACAGACGATCGTCCCTCAGTCTAAACAGGCATTTTAACGCTTTCATTCTTTAATGTTTGTATATCTCCTCAAATTCCGGATTTAGTTCATTTTAAGTGCTGTTTATCTTCAGGGTCTCGCGCATCAACTCTCGCCGCTCATTTCCGCCCAAACTCACGAGACCCGCGGGAAAAACCCGGATGTGGAGCTGCTCGGCGGGTCGCCAGCGCGGGAAAAAATCCCCCTCGGCGCCATTACGCCCACAGAGACATTTTGATTTATTTAAATATTCGGTTTTATTTTATTTTTTATTGTTTGACAATTTAAAAGAGAATATAGGAAAATATAACTTAATTTGTCATTTCACGTACATAAACAAAAACCTGGCTCTGTCTTTTCTTTATTCAAAATTGATCTACGAGTTTAATTTCATAGTGAATGTTCAGTTTAATAAATATTTGAGAAATTGTTTTATCTATAACGAGTGATTGTCAATGTAAAACGAGCAAAAAACAGCACAACAACAAAGCCAAATATACAATATTCATATATATTGTAATGATACTGTAAAGATCCTATTACATTCAGCTGTATTTGTGTAAGTTTGTCGCTTATTTGTACAATACATGTTCAATACGCTTTGGGAAAGTTACTTTTTGCTTTAGTACTTAAAAACAAAAACAAACAAAAAAACACCAGTTATCATAAATATAGCAATCTTTATTTTACAGGTGCTTTTATTCAAAAAATCAGAGCCATGTTACAATCAAACCAAGAGTTTTTACATCACTGAAAATATTGACTGAGTGCGTATGTCATGACAGAAAAAACAAACAAACAAGGATATAATGGGACGTTTCCATCCGCGAGATTTAATGAGCGCGTAAATCTGCCGTCTCTTGCTAAAGTGAAAGGATTTGGCAACAAGCGACGTCTAACGAAACGAATCAAAGCTTATGATTAAGTGTGAACAGACAAACGTACGAATACGATACGGATCCAAGATATGGAAGAACCGCAGACGATGAAGCGGTAAAACAGAGATTCGTAAAGTGGAAATCAACTATTAGAGCTCCTCGCCGAAGTTTAATCTGCGAATAAAAGATCGTTAATAACATAAATTGCACAAACTACTCAAAAGTCGTTTCAACTTGTTTTCTGGGTGAAAATTATATTTAGAAGCGTATTTTAGGACTACTATTATTTCTACGACGAATTCTTAATCACAAAAAAATTGTAAATATTATTTAAATTGTACAATTTTAAGCACATAATAGCAGTATTTTTGTATTTATACTGATTGTAACATTACAAAAAATACTGTATTATTGTATTTAAATTGTTGTTAAAATAATGTGCTTAAAAATGGATGTTATTGTCCTTCTAAATATATATCCTTTTAATTTTAATGCGAAACATGACATTGTGAGATTGACCCAGCAGGCACAGCGTGAGACACGACAATCTAAACGAATGAAAACGCAACACAAACCAGCTAAAGACTGTGATTTCATTCAGGGACGAACCAATAAATGAAGTGCTTTCCATCTAAAACCAAACAAAACATCCTTCAGAGAAACTGTAAACCAGCTGACGATGAAACGGAGTGACGAGGGGAAAAATACGGCTGGATTAGTTCACAAAAGATGGAGCTAAACACAAAATACAGACGCACGTAAACAAGTAATAGGAAATCATTATTAGCAGCCACAAAATCACCATTGAGCTGACTTCACTCGTTTAATCCAATTTTTAACACGTGAGAACAAGTCGTTAAAACAATAATACAGACCCCGACGGCCCCAATACATCATGGGTAATTCAGAGCGAGAAACATTTCCAATCTCATTAAAATAATGACCTAAAGAAAAGTGACCTTTCGGAAGTTCGCTCACTCGTTAGTTCATTCATTAGTTTGTTCATTTATTCGTTTGTTGGAGAAGAAAAACTGCGTTAAAGGAACAGTTCAGCCAAAAATAAGTTTGTTTCTTCATCAGGTTTGGAGAAATGTAGCACTGCATCAGTGTCTCAGCAATGGATGCTCTGCAGTGAATGGGTGCCGTCAGAATGAGAGTCCAAACAGCTGATAAAAACATCACAATAATCCACAGCACTCCAGTCCATCAGTTAACATCTGGAGAAGACAAAAGAAAGATCTGTGCAGACATTTTATAGGGTTATTATGGATTTTGGCAGCTTTTGTCTTCTCAAGATTAATCAGAGTATTTATTGGATTACAAGATTACATACTCTCATTCTGACGGCACCCATTCACTGCACTACATTTCTCCAAACCTGATGAAGAATTTAAGCACATTTTAATGTCTTCCTGAATTCTTCCTTCAGTCTAAGCGCAGAATGGTGTAAATCAGGATGCATTGGCTCTGGTTTAGTACGAGGCTGAAAGTGCAGGAAGATGAAACCATATGTCAGGGGTCACTCGACGGCCTCCGCTGTGCTCTGTGGCTTGATCTTGAAGACGCAGATGTGCAGGTGAGACGAGATCTCGTTGCAGACGCTCACGCAGTAGCGCACCAGATCGAACAGGGACAGAATCTGGTCAAAACAAACAGCAGAATCCGGGTCAAAACAAACGGCAAACGACGGAATCCGGGTCAAAACTAACGGCAAACGACGGAATCCGGGTCAAAACAAACGGCAAACGACGGAATCCGGGTCAAAACAAACGGCAAACGACGGAATCCGGGTCAAAGCAAACGGCAAACGACGGAATCCGGGTCAAAACAAACGGCAAACGACGGAATCCGGGTCAAAACTAACGGCAAACGACGGAATCCGGGTCAAAACTAACGGCAAACGACAGCTATGAGCTGTAATATGTGACTTCAGCGTGAATCTGAGGTGACGTGATCTCACCAGAGAAATCCATAACACCAGATACTCGTCGATGAAGCTGTTGAAATACTGATCGAGAAACAGCAGGCCGGGACCCAGAAACGCGGCGTCGTGAAGATGCATCTCACTCTTCGTCATGTGAGCCACCTGACGAGACAAACAGCGGCTCAGACACACGTCAGAAACGAAGGCCGTATCGGCGAGCGTCTTTACTCACCACTAGTTTATTGGTGATTTTGGCCGAAACGAAGCCGAAGGCCAGAATATAGAGACAGGGGTGTTTCTGGAACAGCTGCACGGTTGATTTCTTGTAAATCATCATAGCGAGGACGATAACAGAGCCGATGTGCAGAATGGGCGATAACACGCTCGTACCCTGAAACACACATGCATTTATAGTTGAGAGACATAGAGACAATATATAACATAATAACGTATATGTCTATAATATGCTGGAGTTGGCGTACGTACCGCTATAGTGGATCCGTTTTTGCCCACGCCGCCCGTAAATATGACCCTGAAGTAATTGGTACACGAGAAAACCAGCGCAATAAATGTGCAAAGTGCTGGAATTATTTTCATTTGGATGTTTATTACGGGAATCTGTCGAATGTGAGAGAGCGAGAAACAGTTACATTCAAACACATATATATGTAATCACATACATTTTTATGACTATTATCATTGATATAATACATTTTTATAGTTTTAATACATCTTAATATTTTAAAGATTTTTATTGTTTTTAATGTATCATTTACATTGTGTTATTAATATATTATACTATAGTAATAATGTATACACACATATATATTATTTTGAAAATTCAGCTTTGATCACAGGAATAAATTACAATTTAAAATATATTCAAATAGAAAGCGGTTATTTTAAATATTAAAAATATTTCACAATATTACTGCTTTTGCTGTATTCTGGATAAAAGAAATGCAGGCTTGGTAATGTACGTTATAATTTACATTATGTAATTTATTATTATTATTATATTTCTTTACAATATTAAATGAATGTGTATATATAGAATTTATGTACATATTATATGTAATTTATTGTTTATATATATATATATATATATATATTCATTTAGAATGTATTCATTAATAAGTAAAATGTATATACTTTTTAATGTGTAATTTACATGAAGCAATGCATTAACAATAATAATATTACTGTTAAATTTATATATATAGAACTTATTTATAATTAAGTAACTTTATAATATAAATTGTGTATATATATATATATAGAATTTATGTATATTAATTAT